ACATTCCAGGGGAAAAGGGGGGTTTGGAGATTTGTGCCGATGTGGAGAGGGCGGAAAGTGTGACGATACACTTTTAGAAACGGATTTTCTGTCGTTATTTCGCGTTTTTAAAAGACTTTATGTTGATTGCAAATAAAATTGATTAATAGACTCACAGGGAGGTGATTACCAGGGGGGGTGATGTCCTATTCCCGTGGGTGAGGGGACGCATACGATTATAGACGTCGCTACGCCTGGCCATGTCTACCAGTGGCGTAGCCAGGATCGTCTCAAGGGGGGGTTCCAATTTTTACCCGGGGACAAACTTTCGATTTGCACCCCCCCCCCCAAAATTTCGATTTGCACCCCCCCTCAAACTTTTGATTTGCATCCCCCCCTCATACTTTTTATATATACCGAGGGGTCTATGGGGGGGGCAGGGGCGGATTAAGCTTGGGCGGGGCCCCGGGCTGAAACTTCTTGGGGGCCCCTGATTATATATATATATATATATATATATATATATATATATATATATATATATATATATATATATATATCTTAATCAGCATACCATTCAAGATATTAATGGATTATCTATAACTTATAGGAATATTCGACACCAATATTTACAAAACTGCTAATTTAAAAAACCTGTCAATTGTGTTCAATGAGCGGTAAATTGGATACAAACATCTAACCTTCTTCTTCTTCTCTTCTTCTTCGATCTTAATTTTAGTGTTGGAAGGGATCCCCTCCAATACAATTAGGTATACGTGTCAACTGGTTAGGCGCCATTGAGACCATTTTACTTTCTCGTATATACGAAGTATAGAGAAAGTCTTGTAATCGTGGAAAAAAATCGAGATTTTTGCAAATCTCGACGTTTTACACCTCACTGATAAGGAAAAACATAATTTTGCAATCTTGTCCGTATGTCTGTGTATCTGTGTGTGTGTGTAAACACGATAACTTGAGTACCGTTACAGCTAGGTTGATGAAATTTTATATAACTTGAGTACTATTTCAGATAGATAAATGAAATTTCACACGTAAGTAAAATATCTAATGCTCTACCTTCTGTCAAATTTTGAGTAATTTCCGTTGACCGGAAGTACTAATTTCCGATTTCTCAAAAAAACGCATGTAAATTTATAAAGTACTAATAATATTGCGCACTATTATGCACATTTCATTTGGCGTTCACTTGGTGTGCAATCCTTTTTTCTACGAGATTTTATTCTATTTTAAAAACTTTAAGTATTTAAAATGGAGTTCCAATCCCCTGTTTTTTTATATAAGAACTAGGCATGCTGCCCAGCTTCGCTTAGGCTTTCGAAAACATTGAGAATTTGAATGCTTAATTAATTCGCCCGAAGGTCGTTCTACGACCTCAAGAGTTATGAAGAAGTTCCTCCGTGGACATTTTTTTTCGATTTATAGCTCATATAAGGTACCGGTCAGTCGAGGTCAGTTTTGACCCCCACATCGTAGACTTTTCGGCCAACCGGCCCCCGTGTTCTGTCGCACCAAGGCAAGATCATGCCAAATTTGAAGCGCCTGCGGCGCCCGGAAGTGCCCTATCGGACACCCGACAATCTAGATCTAGATCTAGATTCCTAAAAGAATTTTTTTTTTAAATTTAGCCCGAGCATAATAAAAAAGAATACATTAACAAAGTTGACTTGCTGTGTCTCGAACCCGCACCACCTGCGTGGTTTAATGTACACTAACATCTCCGCTATTTAGGCACCTTATAAAATACGGAGAATGAAACACGTATTTTAAAATCTTAACTTACGCGAATATGCCTATTCTTTCAAATTAATTTTTTATCCCAAATTAGCCAGTTCCAAACAAAGATTTTGTATAAAATAAATAAGTCTTGAAATAGTTTAGTCCTAATATAGACATTTATTTTTGGAATTGATTTTAGAGAAGTTAGAGTCTAAATCTAGATCTTAGCGTCTACGTCTAGATCTAGTTATTGCGTAGATTTAGATTTAGATTTAGTCTAGATCTAGAATCTCTAGATCTAGAATCCAAATACATAAAATAAATTTTATGAGTTTAGGCCGGAAAAATTGTATTGTATACATTTCATAGTGTACGTAGATCTAAATCAAATTTGAATGAAATAGTTCATTTCTTTTCATTCTTAACACGGCAGATGACGTCATTAGTTAATGTATAAGCAATAGTGACGTCACAGTTTTATGCGTTCTTTTTCACATATATTAATGCTTTTCCGGTTGCATAAATAATACTGTTTCTCTACATTCGAATACGCCTTTAATTTTTATTTTTCTTCTTTAAGTAAAATTGTGGTTATACATTTAAAACATCTAACATATTATTTTCAACAAAAGTCCGTAAAAAGTTCTCCATATACCGCTGCCGATTCTGACGTGATGTCCGGCGAAAATTTTTTGCGGACAGAGAAAGAGAGAGAGAGAGAGAGAGATGTGCGCACATTGGGCTTTTATAAATTAGGATATTCGAGAAGGTTTAGGGGAGATCACTCCCGGTTTATTTTAATGTGTTTCCATAGCCTTTGCCCAACCAAGAACAAACTACAGCAGATGTTTGATTTTGGAGTTGTCTCTCCTAGAAGAGTGGCTATCCCCAGCTAACAAGCCTCATCTGCCCGAGGATTTGAACTTGAGACATTTCGGTTAAGCATCCACGAGCTTTACCTACTCGACCACCCCTAACATCTAACTAATATGTACTCATTTTTATCATGATTATATGTTGTCCCCACCCACTACCACGACACACACACTAAAACACAGGCGAGATCCATCCGCTACGTCAGTAGCACTAAATATATGACTGTTTAGTTTAGGCCTGTAGAAGTTTCCGACCTCTGCCCCGCGATCTAGCCAGGTACCAGACGGTAAGACGATGCCCTGCGTCCGGTGGTGGGGGGAAGTAAAGTCTGCATAGAGCCTACGAATGGATAAGCGACCATCATGTAGTGTTTCAAACAAACATCTCAGTGAGACTGATTCAGTCCAAAATGTGCCATTTAGTTGGAGTTCACTACGTCGAGACCTCCCTGGCTAATGGGAGTCAAACTCCTGTATATCCGTGTCACGATAGTTATTGAACTGTAATTCAAGTTTTTATATTGGGCATGAGAAAGCTGGAAATGCAGACTAACCTTGAACAAACGTAAATATCCATGAGAATATTATAATGTCGTTACTATGATTGAAAAAGGAAATTTGGGGCCCCTAAAAATCGGGGGCCCCTGGCTGCAGCCCCCTCAGCACCCCCCTTAATCCGCCACTGGGGGGGGGTTATGATCCCCCTAACCCCCCCTGCCTACGCCACTGATGTCTACAAATGGTACCGTCGAAAATCCAAGTTGAACCTAACACTTAACGCTAAAGTAGACTTCAGCGAAACCTAATATACGCCCCAATCGATAGTAAATCGATAACTTACCATTTTAATTATGCAATTGACCCAGCACTATGTTACGGTTGGTTAAAATCAAGGCTGTTGGCTTTAGATATAAAAGCAATCGAGAAGGGGCAGTCAATAAACAAAATTAATTTATCTAATAATTAATTTATAAAATTTAACAATGACAGTAAACCTGTATTTAGGCCTAATTTCTATGAATTTTTAAAAAGTGTACTGTTGTGCGCGTCTGCCATTTCTTTTATTAACATACACTTTTGGATTTCCAAGAACAATTCTGTACAGGAAAAAAGTTAAGCTCCCCTTTCACCACGTCACGTGACAGCAGGCTTCCGTAGTTACAAATCGTTTGTCAACAAAGTAACTAAAGGAAGCGAAGCCTGGGTTGACTTCTTTTTTACTTTCTCGTATATACGAAGTATAGAGAAAGTATTGTAATCGTGCACAAAAATCACTTGAAATTTTAACATCTTTCACCGTATTACACCTCAGTCCTTCATCACATCCGAAGTTTAGAGGACTTATTTTAATCGGGCAAAAATTATCAATCCAGATTTGTCAAAATTAAAAGGTTTTATGCGTATTCCAGTCTGAAAAACTGGGCTTTGCAATTCTGTCCGTATGTCTGTGTGTCTGTGTGTGTGTGTGTCCGTGTGTAAACACGATAACTTGAGTACCGTTACAGCTAGGTTGATGAAATTTCATATATAAGTATTTTATCAAAATCGTAGATCCGTATCAACTTTTGAGCGATTTCGGATAACCGGAAGTGGTACTTTTTCTACTTTGAATTTTTCAAAAGCCTATAACTTGAGTACTATTTCAGATAGATAAATGAAATTTGATATGTAAGTAAAAGATCTAATTCTCTACCTTCTGTCAAATTTTGAGAATTTTTCGTTGACCGGAAGTACTTATTTACGCTACTTCCGATTTCTCAAAAAACTAATGTAAATTTTAAAAGTACTAATAATATTGCGCACTATTATGCGCTTTTTTATTCGCGTTCACTTGGTATGCAATTAATTTGTCTACGAGATTTTATTCTATTTTTAAAACTTTAAGTATTTAAAATGGATTAAAAATCATGTCTATAGCCCGAGTTCCCATCCCCTGTTATTTTATATAAGAATATTCGAGAAAGTTTAGGGGAGATCACTCGCGGTTTATTATTGTAAAACGAACACATTTATTTTTTATTTTTAGTAGGCATATTTAGACCTATGTTGCAATTAATCTTAGAGTTTTAAAAATGCACATATTTCACATGCGTTTATCTTTTCTCTATCACTGCAGGTTTATTTTTAGTATTTTAGGTTTTATTCTTTTATAATAGTTACCGGCAACCGGTTAATTTTACAAATGAAAAAAAAAATGATTTATAGGCCTAATATGTTTATATATTTAAAGCTACCAGTAGTACTCCCTGTCCAGTTTTTTATAGTTATAATATTAAATATCTAGCTTCCATTTTGTATTTATATTAATATTTTAGGTTAGATTCTCTAACCCATAACTTACATACTATTATTAATATTACTCAATACATAATTTTAGGTTTGTTAAACAGCAATATTGCACATTTTTAGATTGAAGCAGAACACTCAGCAGACGAAGTGTTTGAAATGGTGGATAAAGCTTTTGCTGCTGAAAATATCAAGCCATCAGCAGGTGATTTTGATTTGCTAACATATTAGCATATGGAGCAATGATGATGTTCATAATTTTATTATACCAGATTTTTTTTAAAGATGCAAATGGAGGCTCATTAAAGCTATTTTTTAAAATTTATTTACACAGTGGTGTTATAATTACAAAAAATATAAGTGAAAAAAAATAATTTGAATTTAAATGATTTATTGTATGGGTCATAAATTTAGCCTATCTGTGTATGTACAAGGGTTGATTTACTAGAGTAGAAAGCTTATAGCCAATGTTGGGCCAATATGTAGCCGGGATATAGCCAATATTGTGCCAACATTGCGCCAATATCATGCCGAGTTTCACTACCAATGTTTGGCCAAGGTTAAGCCAATGTTGCACCAAGATGTAGCCAATATTGGTAACCTATGTTTAGCCAATATTGGGCCAATATATTTGTGCTGATTGGGCCTTTTGTGTTAGTCTACATACATTTTACTGCTTTTCCATTAATTTGAAATATTTAATTACATTGATTACTAGTTTATAAAAGAAAATATCAAATACCAATATTTAATTTTGTGTCATATTTTGTTAGTTGAAGAAAAATATAGAATCTGTGTAATTTCTGAAGTACATCACTAAAGTGTTTGACTTTCCTCTCCTCAGATTGCTTTGGAAATGTAATCTTTGTTATTGGTAAGTAAAAATAACATTTTATTACAATGTAAAGTAAACACCTAATTTCTTCTTGTCTCTCCTAAAAATATTATTTCTTCACCTAAACCAGGAGGCCCTGGAAGTGGCAAGGGCACTCAGTGTGATCTGATTGTCAAGAAATATGGCTACACCCACCTGTCGTCTGGTGATCTTCTGAGAGCAGAAGTGGAGTCAGGTTCAGAGAGAGGCCAACAGCTGACAGAAATAATGAAACAGGGGAAACTCGTCTCATTAGTAAGTTGACTGCATTAATGTGACTAGAAGTATTACATCTGAATTGTCATTATCATCATTCCTTTGTGGCCCCTGGGGAGCAAAGGGCTGCAACCACACATCTCCATCGGACTCAGTTTTGGGCTGCCCCCTTTATCTGTGCCCCCTTTATCTGAATTGTACTTATCACTTAAAATTTTAGTGTGTAGTTCTCATGTAATCTGAAGAAAACTCTATATTTAAAGTTACGTTTAAACAAGCGCTGATTTAACTAGAAATTTTACAAACTGCAACATTTAGAAATATACAGTTTAAATTTTCATTAGTTCAACTATTGTTTTCTTTAATAAAAGATAATGACTTTCCTTTTCATTTATTTTTTAAGGATACAGTTCTTGAACTTCTCAAAGAAGCCATGCTTAAAAAAGTGGCTTCAAGCAAAGGATTTTTAATTGATGGATATCCACGTGAGCTAGAGCAAGGGAAACGATTTGAGCAAGAGGTATTCACATTTGTTAACTTCATATTTCTTAGTGACTATTATTATAATCATACATGAGCTATCCTGAGCGTATTGTGAATTTGACACTACCCTCCCTTCTTTCCCTACCCCCTGTGAAAGCAGCTGTCTGTGATTACAGTTAACAGACAATGAAAAGATCAAGCAGAACTTGTTACCTCCCCTTAGTTTCAAATCATTTAACAAAATTATCTCTGCTATTGTAAACATTTGGAGTGAACCACAGCTCATCAGACTGGTGGGGGTGGTAGCAATATGGTCTGTTGTGCATGCCTGGATAGCAAGTGAGGGGGCGGGTCATCATGTGTACCAAGGTGGTGGTGTCCCGCAACTTCATTGTAATGTTAAAATAAATTTTAATGTTTAAAATTTGATTATAATTCATTCATTTTTTTTTTCCAGATATGTGCTCCACAATTTGTTTTGTATTTTGATGTGTCAGACGAGACAATGACCAAACGTCTGCTTGGTCGCGCAGAAACAAGTGGCCGAGCTGATGACAATGCAGAAACTATCAAAAAGAGGCTGGACACTTTTCATGATGTCACCAGGCCTGTTATTGACCACTACACAAACCAGCAAAAAGTGAAACGTGTGAGTTAATAATTCATCCTCAAAAAATGTGAGCGCAGGAGGCCAAAGGAATTTTTTTTTAATGCGAATTCAAAATAACATTCTGTTGATAAATGGGACAAAATAAAACTTTGAGAAAACTAAAAGAGAATAAAACTTAACCTAATTAATTATAGCTGTTTCATTAACTTTTCCAATAAAATTGTAGGTAGTGGCTGAAGGTGAAAAAGACGAAGTATTTGCTCAAGTTGAAAAAATATTTGATGAAGCTATTGGTGAGGAACATTTTCTGTTGTTTTGTATCCATTAATCAGTGGTTATTTTTGTTTGCCCTAATTAATCAATATTTTAAAGTATGTTCAAACAACAACCTGGTTTTAACTAAAATGTGTTTTTTCATTCACAATTTTTGGCATCAGTAGTAGATCTATATTGTTAAGACTGATGCAATCTTTTGTTATGCATTTTATATATTTAAAATATTTAGACTCTGAACATAAAATTTATTTTTTATTAGCAAATGAAGCTGCACTGAAGAAAGCAAAAATAGTTTTTGTTATTGGTAAGTAAATTCAAGTAGTTATGTAAATAGGGGAGGTAATTCATCCTCTGATTTAAGGAACACATGAGTTCTAGATTGGCTATTTATTATAATGTATTTATGAAAAAAAAATTTAGACTGGCTATTTATTATTGCTATGTATTTGTGAAAAATTTTTAAAACTGTTTTCTTTATAAAATGTTAATTTTCAGGTGGGCCTGGCAGTGGCAAGGGGACGCAATGTGCCAATATTGTCAAAGACTACGGCTTTTGTCACCTTTCATCTGGGGATCTTCTTCGAGATGAAGTCAAGTCGGGATCTGAAAGGGGGAACAGGTTAAATGCTATCATGGAAAAAGGAGATCTTGTCCCATTGGTAGGTGACAGGATGTGGTAGATAGTGTTAGCTTAAAATTTCAGGTAAATTTTAAAGATGTGATTGGATAACTTAGGTCAAAGCAATTAGTACAAATTGTGTTGCATCACACTGAAAGTAAATTTTCATTCTAACCCAATGGGCCAATGAAATAGAGTTTGCCTTGTCATGTGAAGAGTCAGATATATGTCCTGCTACCTTAGACAATCTCTAACTCATGTGAAGAATTAGTGCAGTCAGATATATTTCCTGCTACTTTTGACAATCCCTAACTCATCTAAACTCATCTTAGGGATACATCAGAACTAGGTGGACACAATGAAACTTGAGACTTTTGGGCTAGCAATTGTACATTTTGCAGAATGAATGAACAAACCATGCTATGGTACACTTTACACACAGCATCATGAAAAAATATGTTTATTTCATACAAAAAGTGTATATTTTATACAAAGTTTTCAAAGTGTATATTTTATACAAAAAGTTTAAATTTTATACAGAAAGTGTATATTTTATACAAAAAGTGTATATTTTATACAAAAGTTGTATATTTTATACAAAAAAGTGTATATTTGACCTGTAGGAAGAAGTACTTGGGTTATTGAGAGACGCCATCATCAGCAACATCAGCAAGACTGGTTGTTTCCTTATTGACGGCTACCCCAGGGAGTTGGATCAGGGAGTCAAGTTTGAAAAAGAGGTGAGTTTGCTTTTTATATTTCTGATAATCAAACTACCAGTGTAGGCTATTTTTAATTTAAGGAAGATTTTTTTCACCCCCTATTGGTTCACACTCTTATCTAATTCTTATAAAAACACTACTTTGTTTAGCAAAAACAAATTAGTTTTTTCTACTTTAGATTGCTCTGAAATAACAGCAACGTCAAAATAAATGGTTTAAACCCTCAGATTGCTCAGTGTAGCTATGTCCTTTACTTTGATGTGTCTGATAAAACAATGACCGCTCGTTTGTTGGAGAGAGGGAAGAACAGTGGAAGAGTAGATGACAACGAAGAAACGATCAAGAAACGATTACAAACTTTTCATAATCAAACCAAACCTGTCATTGAGCATTATAAAAAACAAGGCAAAGTGCAGCAGGTATGTAGTTTCAATCATGTTCATTAAACCAAATATGAAAACAGCCATTTAACCTTTTAAATTTAAATATGTTGTATCTTAGCCTCATATTATATTATCGTAATATTTGAGAGATGCAGACATACAACTTAGTTTTCAATGTTAGGAACTAAAAACACTTTGTCTTTGAATTTTAAAACGTTTAAAATTTATCATCATCCCTAATGATTTTAATTTTATTATATTTTTGTCTGTTATATTTGAACAAAACATACTTGAACTCTTATATAATGAAAATAATCATTTTCTACAGATATCTGCTGAAAAAGGTATTGATGAGGTCTATGTTGAAGTCAAGAAATTCATGGACTCCAAAAAGTGGTAATACATTACCAACTGTTGGAAAGTGCAATGCTTATAAATGTGATGGATGGCATACTAATTTTTACCCTTTCAACCTATAAAAGTAGAAATTTTATTTGTATGATTTTCTTAATTTTCACATAATAGACAATTTGTAATTTAACCCTGGCAGAAAGTTTATACATTTTTTTTTTATACGTGCTGTGTTACCTGTGATATATTTATTCCGGAAAATTAAATATGTGGCCAAATTGGCTGTAAATAATGTCAATCAAACTAAAAAGTATTGACATTTAGGTTTTTATATTAACTTTGTTTATTAAACTTTTTTTTTGTTAATACATTATGTAATCGACAACTTAGGTTATAAATTTGCAACCATTGTGTAACTGCCTTATTTTAGGTTGACATTTGAGATATAAGCTGTTTAGAGTTTTTCTCATTTGTATCAGTAGTCCAACTAAACTGAGCAGAATAGGTGTGCAATGCCATTCAAATATCTAATAAAACTGAAGGCAGCCATTTTTTTTTGTAAATCACTAACATTTACAGCCGATTTATTTTATTTTATCCTCTAGTGTTGCATTTTCTGCTCCTAGTTTTGTTAATGCATATGTATAATAGTTTTAGTGACTGGTGGGAAATCTAAATCACATTTAAAAAGTGTTTGTAGATGTTTTTTTTAATTACTTTTCAATTAGAACATAAACTTTTCCACTATTTGTATCTCTATCTTGTAAATATTCAAACTATTCATTGCTCAAATCAGAACTTCATTTTAGTGTTTAAATAAATGTGTGAGAAATAATTTCTGTTTTAAAGTTCTCTGCCAAATTGCATGTTAAAAGTTTTTTTATTCCCTGTAAAGTGTATTTATCAGATCTCATTGGTGTTACTGTTGATAGAGTGAGCTTCCTGGCATATTTCTGATAGTGACAATCTACCATAACCTGTGATATTTACCCTTTTGGATTGTGTACATCTTCTGTAATAGTTTTAACTTTTATGAAAATTAAGGTGTTTCTAGCAACATGCCTAATTTATTAATGAATCTAAATGATTTATTGTTATCTCTTTATTTTACTTACATATTAAGTCTAATTAACTCAATATAAAAATGTACAAAATCACAAATACTCTGCTCACTTTTCAGCACTTTTCCTGTAATGTCTACTATTATTCACAACTTGTGTTTTTAAACTTCCGTCTTACAAAATTTTCTTTTCATTTTGTCTGTGAACAGAAGGGTTTAATTATTTAGTTAAACGACAGGAAAGATATTTCACCTGAATTTGTCCTTTCCCAAGTTATTTCATTTTCAATTGGTTAAATTTGGTACCAAATGTTTAGTCTAGTGAACATACTGCCAGACTTTAATTTTTAGTTTTCTTTAAATATAGAAAGTATTTTGATTTAAATTTTTGTAAAACTTTTTATTCTGTGTACTAACAGTGTCTTGAAATTTTGTCTTCATGTAAAAAAAAACTTCCCACTTAAAAAACAACTCATCTTTAAGGCTATTTTGGCATTTTACTTACACTGCTATACTCTATACTTACTACTAATAGTTTGAACTCCTATTCAAATCTAGAGTTCAGTACTGACAGGTAAATTATTTTATTTATATTTTTTACTGTATTAACCAAGTGCCATATTAAAAACAATACTGTTACAAATGTCTGTAGATTCTCAACTGTCCAGATTTTATCAGTATTATTCCTGTGATTTACTCTGAGTTGATGACTAGGTTATATACAAAATTTAATAAGTTAGTCATTCTTAGTTTTTATTTAACCAGTTGTGTGGGTGACTGCATTGAGATTATTTTTGTGGAGATACAATTCAATACATTAAAGAAACAATGCAAGTTCTTGCAGGTTTTAATTAAATAGCAGTTATTACAATCACATGTTAAATAACATAAAGAAAACAAAAGGACAATCTTGACTGACAAGAAAACGTGTGATTAATTTTAAAATTGCTAGCATACATTTTTCTTACACACAACCATTTTAGATAGATAAAGACTAGCACTGGTCAAATAACATATGCATGTGTAATTACTAAACAGTGCTTATAATTATAACTCAGCAGAATAAATGATAATTTACTTAATTAAACCTAATCTTTTTTTAGTAAAATGTATGACCTCTCAATATTGTCAGTTGCTATATAAATCTTAAGTAAATTAAATAACTTTGTGTGTTACTGAAATTTCTCCAGCCCAGGAAGATCAAGAAGTTTTTACATGACCTGGGGGAGGGGGGGGGGAAAGCTAGTCATAAACTCAGCTCCTTTAAGTCCTATTTTAAAATGAAGAACTTCTTATAAAAATAACTGTGATCACCTGACAATAATGAAGGAGACAATGCTACATACAGACAAAACAACACAATTTTATCATTCAACACTATACACAAGTCATCAAGTTTATATGTACAGGCTTCTCCTCTGCCAAATAAATGTAACATTTTTATGAAGAAACAAAAAAATCACTTTATAAAAGTGGTTGCAAACTGTCAAAAAGCTCATATGTAATGGTGTGCAGTGTTTTTGAAGACTTGTATGCTCAAATGCATATTTCTAAAGCCAAAAAGTTCCTCACTACAGAAAAAAAAAAAAATGTTCATACAAAATTATCAGCTAACAGTTATAACATGTTAAAAACAATGGTTCAAAAAATTAATTCCAATCTCTCATTAAAAATGTATGAGCATCAGCTATAACCAACATTCAATACCTCAACAAATTGTTGACTAGTCTACATGAATTTAGCAAGAGTCTTCACAAGATCCAGTAGCGAATGAAGAGCAGGAAGAGCACAACTAAAATAATGACAGCAGCTACTTTAAGGTAGGAGGACCTAAGGTTTAAATATCTGGCATCTTTCTTGTACTTCTGTGACTGAGTAGACAAGTTGCTGGCTTTGGTGTCCAAAACTAATCAAAACAAAACATTTTTTACCATTTTACAAAGAACTTCTTTTCTTAAATGTTAATTTAACGATAAAATATATCTTAAAGAATAAATTAGGTTTCCACTCAATGGGTTGAAGGCCTAAGTACTAAAAATTAATTAAACATTTACCTGATAAAGCTTCCCCTCTCATTAAAACCTCATCAATATTCTGTACCATAATTCTTTGTACATCTTGGAGCTCTGTATTAATTTGACCTAAATTACGCCGAGCTCTAGAATCCATATACGATTTACGAGCTTTCTGCATGTATGTATCTGCAACATGAAAAACTTAAGATTGCAAATGGAGACCAATAAATATATGCATTAAGATTGTTGGATAATTTAGTTTAAGCAGATACATAAAGTGGAAATTAAGTAGGAGTGCACAGCGATATCCATACTTTGTTTTTCATAAGAACATAAAAATGCTGAAATTACAACAACTTTCAAATGGAAAATGTATCTTTCTAAATCCTAAAATAATTTTATTTAAGAAATGTTCTTTCAATATAAGAGAAATTAAAATTAATTTTTTAGGTAAAACCTTACCAAATTCAATGAATGAATAAGGTCGAGACACAGTGTCAAGTCTTGAACCATACTGGGCTGTGAATTCATTCTGTAAATCCTCCATGTAAGAGAAGGCTAATCTCTTGGAGAAAGTTTTCTCACACAAAACTAGGTAACACACACCTCTTTCTATCATGTAACTAAGGAAATCAATAAATCAGCTCTTCAGTTTGATAAAGCACATAAGGCCCTTGCTGACATAAATTTACTAAACTAGAATCTTTAAAGACTGAATACAATAAAGTCAATGATTATAAATTGAGCAGTAAGTTATTGAATTTCCTTTTAACAGTTTTATAGGTTAAAACTTGTAATTAATTTAAATTTAAGACACAATCCCCAAAACATCATGCAAAAAAAGTGATCTCCCCTAAACTTTCTCGAATATTCTAATATAACACTACGTGGGATGTCAACTCGGAATATAGACATGATTTTTGTTTACTTAAACTTTTAAAAATAGAATAAAATTTAGTAGAAAAAAAAATTGCGCACCAAGCGAGCACCAAAACCAAATGTGCGTAATAGTGCACAATATTATTAGTACTTTATAAATTTACATGCGTTTTTTGAGAAATCGGAAATAGCGTAAATTAGTACTTCCGGTCAACGGAAATTACTCAAAATTTGATAGAAGGTAGAGAATTAGATCTTTTACTTACATGTGAAATTTCATTTATCTATCTGAATTAGTACTCAAGTTATAGGCTTTTGAAAAATTCAAAGTAGAAAAAGTACCACTTCCGGTTATCGGAAATCGCTCAAAAGTTGATACGGATCTACGATTTTGATATAATACTTATATATGAAATTTCATCAACCTAGCTGTAACGGTACTCAAGTAATCGTGTTTACACACAGACACACACACACACACACACAGACATACGGACAAGATTGCAAAATTATGTTTTTCCGTATCAGTGAGGTGTAAAACGTCGAGATTTGTAAAAAATCTCGATTTTTTTTGCACGATTACAATACTTTCTCTATACTACGTATATACGAGAAAGTAAAAAAAGGGTTAAAAAATTTAAATAAGCAAAGCGGTTATTGTTAGAATGAAAAATAAAGCTAAATAGTTTAGATTCATTAACTCATTTTATTCAATGTAAATTTAAAAACGTAATTTTTAAAATTAAAATAAGGGCACAGTAGAAATAAGTAAACAATTTAGCAGGATTTCTAGTTGTAACATTATATTAGTAACAATTGCATCATGTAAAAATTTTGCCAGATCCCTTCACTCAAAAGAGTTGTACGAAAAGTAACTTACTGGAATAAATAATGAGATGTTTCTAAAGTACATTTAGAGATAATTTTGCCAGATCCCTTCACTCAAAAGTTGTACGAAAAGTAACTTACTGGAATAAATAATGAGATGTTTCTAAAGTACATCTGGGAGGAGGATTGGGATCCTGAGATAATTTTTTAAACAACTGTTTAGCTTGCGTTTGATATTCTACTAGGTTGCGACCAGACTGAAATAAAAAAAAAAACAATTCAGTAAAAACACTAGCAAAAATTCAATATAGTTATAATTATAAAACTAAGAATTTTTTTTAATGATTAGTGATCTCAAATACAATTGATAAAACACAACCTATGACCTGGAAGGGTAGTTTTACTTTATATTGTTTTTTTAATAAATAACAATATAAAAGCTGGTTTATGGCTGAAATTTACCTTCTTAAACCTATTTAGGAAATGACCATTAATAATTTCACAATTTAAAAAAAAACTTCTCTGCTGCCATACAAATCAGAAAACAAAGAAGCTAGACCAATTCACCTGTTCATCTTCTTGTACAGAGGCTGACAGTGGCAACCCATCTGCTACTCTGGCTATCATAGTGAGAAGCATTTTCTTTTGAGACCTGTTGCACTTGGCTCAGCTACCCAATATTATACAGCTCAGCTAACAATATTTTATTTGTTTTAGAGGTGAGAATATCTAGTGGAACTCAATTTTCTATTAAATATTTAAAAATTGTGCCCTGTGAACTTAAAAAATAAAAATCCATTAACAATGTCATATAGAAAACAAATGTTTTATTTATTTTATTATTTAATGTCATATTAATTAGTCCTTTTAAACAACTTTTTGGACATTTGCCTTCTAACATTAATGAATATGAAATAAGACTCACTAAATCACACAAAAGTCAAAAGTGACTAAAGTCTTAAGTTAACTAAAAGAGTCAATATGTGTCCATGTAAGCCTTTGACTGCTACTACTGATTAGAATAGGGTAATCTCACAATATAGCATCAGCAATTATCCAGTACAGTTTCGTAAACATTAGCTACTGTAAACCATAGTTTATTTGACTGGTTAAACAGTTGGTGTACTAATTTAATGATTAAAGTTTTATTGACACACTGAGTCTCAATGACACAGAAATAAAAACAAGCAGAAAATTAGCAACAATTAGTAGATCTAGAGCTAATTACTTAGGCCTATAAATAATAAAATGTCAACTGTAATAATTAGGGTAAAGCAGAGCACTAAGAGCTGTGTGGTATTAGGACCCATTCAGCACCCCACCCTCACAAAACGTGTTGCCTCTAGTTCAAGTTAATCAATTCATTCTTTAGAGGGGCAAGGGCAATAAAACCGGTGAACGGAAAAAAACACAGAAAAAGGTCACAGAAGAAAAATTTTATGGGAAAAAAGCCACAAAAATCTTCTAAGAAATATTTTGATTCAATTGTTGAGAATTGTAAAATTTTTGGTGTTTATTAATGGGTGTTTTATTTGGTAGCATATTTATAAAATTTAAAAGCATTATTTTATGGAAAAAAAGCCACAGAAATCTTCTAAGAAATATTTTGATTCAATTGTTGAGAATTGTAAAACTTTTGGTGTTTATTAATGGGTGTTTTATTTGGTAGCATATTTATAAAATTTAAAAGCATTACGGTTCATAACAATAATAAGTAAAATCACTGTCGCAACAATCTCTGCCTTTCTTTTACGTATTTTGTTAAATATGCGGTAGAAAAATTTATTATAAAAGAAATGTAGACATAGCATTGTGTTTTGCACACATTTTTGCCATAGGCGTTTAATTCCTTGGTCGACTTCTCCTCTGTTGTCCTTTTATGTCAGTAAAGTGTGTTGTTGATGAATTGCCTCAATGACAGCCTTTGTACCGTGTTGACTCTCTCTTTTGATCCTCCAATTTGTTATGTAATGAGCGTAATAAGTGACTGGGAAGTACAGGTGGCTAAACTACTGTTGTGATGAGTTGAGGACAGCAAGTCACATTAACTATGTCTTTATGCCTTTCACGCTAATTTATTTAATATAAGTATTTTAAAAACACGATGAAAACCAAAAAGGTTGGAACAATCTAATTCTATTAAACATTAGGCCTATATGTATAACGGAATTAAAACCTACATGACCTACATACTTCATACTAAATATTTGTACGCAAATCATTACTATGGCTACCTATAGCACCTACGCACATATATCTACAAATCTTTACATTACATTTGAATCAAAAGTTGATTAGCACATTCTTTCTGAATATTTGATACATAAATGTATTCAATTCCATACAAATACACATTAGTGGCTTTTTTCTGTGTTTTTTTTCCTGTGACTTTAGATTAGTTTAATTTTGCATTAATAATTTCAATATTAATATTATAAAATACTTGGATAAGTAAAAATTTTTAAAATTGTACAGGTGCTAAAAAGTGTAGCTCTTCTTTAACTTTACCCTAGCTTTAATTCAATTGTTTAAAAACAGGTACATAAATGAAACAAGGAAACATGTTTGTATTTTAAAAAACATAAATCCTCCTCAAAATGTGAAATAGGCTAATTGTTGAAATTTAACTTTTAAGGAGTCACCTGTTTTTCACATTACAAGTCGCCGGCGATTTTACGTACCTAAAACGATAGATTACCCATTAAATTATGTAAAGTTGATTAGGCCTAACTAACCTAAATTTCTAAAAGAGAATTCTAAGTAAAAGACTAAAAAAAAAAGTGAGACCAAGATGCAAGAGTCTTGGCTCTTGGCTTGGGCTCTTGCCACTCTTGGTGCAAGGAAGAGTAGATCTGAGTAGTGGAGATTCTAGATCTAGAATACTTGTTGTTAAGACCTAACAAAAAAAGATCGCTTAAAAAATAAGCTAACTTACAACTTGATCTAGTCTAGATCACACCAAACTACTATTAGTAAAACATCACTAAAAATTATTCGTCATATTTGAGTCCGAAGCCAGGTAGGTTGTTACTGACGTGGCCGATAACTCGAATACAGAACCAGATTGTAAACTTCCTATTTCTCTTTTTAATAAAGAGTTAATTTTAAAGGGAGACTACCTTGGTGGTTATAATAAACATGACGGCGACAAAACTAAAAAGAACTAAAACACATTGAATAAGAAAACACCTAAAATAAAATAACGCAAAAGAAAAATGTAAAACAGACGCCACAAGTTTTTCAACAGTAAAACACAAATATAGATCTATCACTGCAAACAAAAGCATGCATTTCTTTAAAGAGATGACATAGATTCACAAAGGTAGAAAACAACCCAGACCAGTGTCTCTTCCACACTTTTTTTCTTCGGGGGGGGGGGGGGGAGCGGACACTGTTAAAAGTATATATTTTCTATATAAATTATATAATTTCATTTCGTTCGGGGGGGGGGGGGGGGCGGTAAAATTTTTCGGGGGGGGGGGGGCGAAGAGATGCCTGGAAGAAACTCTGATCCAGACTGAATGTCACCCATCTAGATCTAATTTTACTCACACAAATCGACGAAAAGTATCGGCCATAAACGCTTACATCACATTGGGGGGTCATCCATTTATGAAGTCCACACGGGGGAGAGGGGTTTCCAAAAAAAATTAAAATCTACTTTTGTGAACGCGTGTGGACTGGAGAGGGGGGGGGGGGGTCGGTCAATGTGGAGTGGACGTCCACACCAGTGTTTCTTCCAGACTTTTTTCTCCGGGGGGGGGGGCACTTGAAATCTTCGGGGGGGGGGGGGGGGGCGGTAAATTTTCTTCGGGGGGGGGGGGGGGCGGGCACTGTTAAAAGTATATATTTTCTATATAAATTATATAAATTTCATTTCGTTCGGGGGGGGGGGGGGGGCGGTAAAAAATTTTCGGGGGGACTTCGCCCCCCCCCCCCCGAAGAGATGCCTGGAAGAAACTCTGGTCCACACGTTGAATTTAACATCAAAATACTTAGATTTAAAAACCTGCATATACAATGTATGAATTAAATCGGCAGTTGTGTTAAAAAAAAAAAAACAGGGGAATAAATGTATTAGATGTAACTGTATACCGACCACCTAAGAAAATAAAATAGGGGACAACACTGACCTCGGCAATTTTCTAAATACAATAAATTAAATAATGGTATTTCAAGTGTATCTTAAACATTTCAAAGAATTGAAACATAAGTTTAAAAATAATAATCATTAAAAAAGTTTTAAAAAACCCACGTTTTCTGATTGAACTAAAAAGTAGAAAATAAATGCTATACATCACAATAATGCAAGCGATCACTCTACTATAAGCGATGAAAAAAAATTTCATAAAAAACGTTTTAATAACAAGCTTTTATGTAATGATGCACTAAAAAGTAGAAAATAAATTATAGACTACTATTTAAATAACTATAAAGAAAAGCGTGGGTCACTTTAGTATCTATTGGATACCTTTACTAATGTTAAGGAAGACACCCACGCTTTTCTTTATAGTTATTTAAATAGTAGTCTATAATTTATTTTCTACTTTTTAGTGCATCATTACATAAAAGCTTGTTATTAAAACGTTTTTTATGAAAAAAAATTTCAGTACTTTACATGTTTTATTTACAATAGAGTTACATGACTAAAAACCATTGCACGCCTACTGAACATCACGTTCAGTAGGCGCGCAATGGTTTTTGAACGCAGCCATTACGTGATGGCGCAGCTATTGAAGGTGATGACGCGTGTGGTGTGGTTGGCTAGACATGCCTACTAATTCGGTCCAAATTTTTATTAATTCATAAAAAATTAATTAGGCATCCAATTAAGTCAAATTTAGTTTCAGATTGCATTGTCTTCATGTCTTGACCCACGTGTCAAATGTGAATCGTATCGGTCAAGTAGAACTGTCCGAATTTTCACTCCTGCGTTTCCGTCTAGACAGACAGACAGACTGTCGAGGAAGTGAGTTAAATAAAAGCTTGTAAAAAAAAATTCATAAAAAACGTTTTAATAACAAGCTTTTATGTAATGATGCACTAAAAAGTAGAAAATAAATTATAGACTACTATTTAAATAACTATAAAGAAAAGCGTGGGTCACTTTAGTATCTATTGGATACCTTTACTAATTTTAAATGAAGACACCCACGCTTTTCTTTATAGTTATTTAAATAGTAGTCTATAATTTATTTTCTACTTTTTAGTGCATCATTACATAAAAGCTTGTTATTAAAACGTTTTTTATGAATTTTTTTTTTCAGTACTTTACATGTTTTATTTACAATAGAGTTACATGACTAAAAACCATTGCGCGCCTACTGAACATCACGTTCAGTAGGCGCGCAATGGTTTTTGAACGCAGCCATTACGTGATGGCGCAGCTATTGAAGGTGATGACGCGTGTGGTGTGGTTGGCTAGACATGCCTACTAATTCGGTCCAAATTTTAATTAATTCATAAAAAATTAATTAGGCATCCAATTAAGTCAAATTTAGTTTCAGATTGCATTGTCTTCATGTCTTGACCCACGTGCCAACTGTGAATCGTATCGGTCAAGTAGAACTGTCCGAATTTTCACTCCTGCGTTTCCGTCTAGACAGACAGACAGACAGAGGAAGTGAGTTAAATAAAAGCTTGTAAAAACGTGGGGCGCCGAAGTAAAAGTTATATTACTATTGATTAGATAATACTATTGACTTTTATTAGGGAGCTTGTAGAGAGTCAACAGTATTAGAAACTGTAAGAAAATCACGGCGCCCCACGTTTTTGATCGCTTATAGTAGAGTGATCGCTTGCATAATTGTGATGTACAGCATTTATTTTCTACTTTTTAGTTCAATCAGAAAACGTGGGTTTTTTAAAACTTTTTTAATGATTATTATTTTCTACTTTTTAGTCTTGGTCTGTTTGTTTGCATTAAAATCTTGCTATCGATTTTATCTTTTCACTTTTTTTTGGGTAAACGAAGACAACTCGTAAAAAGACAACTCGTAAAAAGACAACTCGTAAAAAGACAACTCGTAAAAAACATGTTGTGTGAAAACGTTACTGACTAGAACACATAGATTTGAACCCGTGTCGAGTGGGATAGCAATCGTGTGCCCAACCACTCGACCATATCGTCTCCCCCATACTGACCACCAGTTGTTACGTTTGTTTGTACACAAATTACAGTGACTGGGTTATGTCCCTTTTCCCCCACGTTTTTACTACAACGAGCCGACCCGCGGCGTATCATACGCCGCTATTTAGTTGATTTATTTTCTACTTTTCAGTAATTCATAATTTGTGAATTCGACAGTACCAATGCTGCCACTGAAAATATTTGCTTTAAAACACTAACCCCCCTCCTTTCCCCTAACCCCGACCCTACACCCCCCCCCCCCGTGAAAGCAGCCTCCCCTTAGTTACCTCCTGTAAGTTTAAAGTCGGTTCAAACTAAATTATCTGCCCCTAATAGCCGTCACTAAACCTGGCTGTACGGTTTGTAAACATTAACGTGACCACAGCTCAGCAGACCATGTGGGGGTGGGGTAGGGTTAAGGTGTGTGTCGTGTTTCGCGTGTGTGTGTGTGTCGTGTTTCGCGTGTGTGTGTGTCGTGTTTCGCGTGTGTGTGTGTCGTGTTTGGCGTGTGTGTGTGTCGTGTTTCACGTGTGTGTGTGTGTGTGTCGTGTTTCGCGTGTGTGTGTGTGTGTGTCGTGTTTCGCGTGTGTGTGTGTGTGTGTCGTGTTTCGCGTGTGTGTGTGTGTCGTGTTTCGCGTGTGTGTGTGTCGTGTTTCGCGTGTGTGTGTGTGTCGTGTTTCGCGTGTGTGTGTCGTGTTTCGCGTGTGTGTGTGTCGTGTTTCGCGTGTGTGTGTCGTGTTTCGCGTGTGTGTGTCGTGTTTCGCGTGTGTGTGTCGTGTTTCGCGTGTGTGTGTGTCGTGTTTCGCGTGTGTGTGTGTCGTGTTTCGCGTGTGTGTGTGTGTGTGTGTGTGTGTCGCGTTTCGCGTGTGTGTGTGTGTCGTGTAACGAGCTCCAATCTATCAGCCAGATAGTTGGCGAACGCTCCCGGATTGGTTTAACTGATTATACACAAATGGCGACAAGCCTAAATAAAAGAAAGCTAACACAATAGTTCACTAGGACTCGTACTTGATGTCTAGGGGAAACACTAAAGAAACTACTGATGCCAACAATACATTTAATCTGCATATAACTTTTAATGAGTGTACAAAGTCGTGGCAGAACACTAGATTTATACAGGATAAAATAGATTTACAGAATGAACTAAACCCAACTTACAATTCGTGGGAAAAGATAATATGATACACTATCACAGCTTTTAACACTTCAGAAAAATCACCACAGTATACACATCACTGCTATAAGCATATAGTATTACTTAACCACAAGTAATATAAGAATATGCTACTTAAACAACTTAGTACTACACAGCGACACACAGGGCTTATTCTCTCTCAAAGACGTCTGGTCAAAGAACTGCCTAGATTGTGTGAGACGTGTGCGATAAGTCTCTATGGAGACTCACAGATCACTCAAGTGTCTATCCCTAGACCACTTAAGCTACAATTCTCGACCACACAGGCCACCACCGAGGGCCATGGGATCTAACCGGGAACCGAAACCCGGCCGCCGCCTTGAGCGAGCGTGATCCAGGCCACTGCGTAACAGGGCCACCCTAATCACTGAATCACAGTGATTCGAACCGAGGAATTGAGCCTCGGCCGCCGAGATCCTAACCACTGTACCACATCCTGGTCCGTATCAACCAATCATCTCATAAGGGAAAAGTACTGAGTCTAAGACTTTCTTAAGACAGTGGAAAAAACCAGTGATTACACCACAGACCATTTATGGTATGGTAACAAATGTAAAAATAAAAATACCAGACCTAAGTAGGTCACATCCCCTCCCTTTTGAAGAGGCCGATAGGTTCCACAAAAACATACATAAGGAACCAATCTGGCATAAAAAAAAATGTTCTACAAATGTAGTGAACCAAAATCTTAATACCAGGTGAAAACATCCCTGGAAATAAAAGGGAATTAACTCAAA